CTCATTGGCCGGGCTGTGACTGTCTCTCATTGGCCGGGCTGTGGCAGTCTCTCATTGGCCGGGCTCTGACTGTCTCTCATTGGCCAGGCTGTGGCAGTCTCTTATTGCTTGGGGCTGTAATTGTCTCTCATTGGCTGGGCTATTGCTGGGGGAGAAGGAAACCTTCCTTCTTCCTGCTGGGATGGTAGAGTGGTAGCTAAGGTAATATCCAGGTGCAAGGTGCGTCTCTTCCTGTTGGGTCTGCGGTTGACCGGGAGTGGTAGGGCCGGAGCCCCCCCTGCCTGCCTCCAGACTCCGTTCTAAATGAAGTTTCCTTTTATTAATTTTCACAACAGGGAAAGTAGCTGTTCAATCAAGATGATTTCTAGAGTTTTATTTTATTAATGATGAACAAATTAACCTTGTGGCACGTGCCCGTTTACTTTGTTTCCATGTATCTGTATTTGAAGAAAACCGCCACTATGATATAAATAACAAAGTGCTGCTGGACACGGTCACAGGTATAGGAACAGCATTTATCTGCGGAGCGCTCTGGCACATATTGTCTCTGTGTCTTCCCCGCAGTCTTTTGTGGGGTCGTGTCCACTTGGAGTTAGGAGAGGTTGTCTCTTGTCCCCTTCCTCGTGGGTGACGGTTCCTGATCCAGGTCTTGGGTTCTGTGCTTTGTGCCTCACTCTTTTCCGGAACAGGAGGAAAACCTGAATTTTGAGCTGGCAGTTTTACTGTTTTGTTATATTTCTCAAGAGCTCTTCCCTGATTAAACAGGATGACATTCCCACCTGTCTGGAATGCTATAGCTGGAAATTATTAAGGAAAATGGATGTTTAGCTGTGCTTTGGATCTCTTTTTCTAGTGAATGAGTTGTGGAATGAAAAGTAGATGATATTATCTGCTGTGAGGAGAAGGCAGTTGGGGTGTAGAATAATGGTGGGAAGGAGACACTTGGGACCGAGACTGTTTCAGTAGTGGATTGGCTCATACAGGCCATTGGACAGTACAGATTATTGCTATCACATTAGATTTTTCAGTAGCAAGAAGGATCTTTCAGTCATTCCAGAAATATAGATTGAGTCCCAGATGTATACACACTTCTTGGTTGCGTGCTAGACACACACTCTGTGGAACAAATTGGATTTTGAAGTCCTTGTTCTCAGGAAACCTTTAACCTAGAGGCTAGAAGGGTAACGTGCAAACGAACACAGAAATGGAGATATGCTTACCATTTACAGTAAGTGCTCAAAGGATAATCTCTTGTTTCCATCATTTTTGAAACATGGAAGTTAATTTAAAGTAAGAATGGCAGATCTTAACGTTTAAAAGAACTGTTCATCTGTCTATGACCCACATTTTTCCAGATTGGAAATTTCTGCCTCATAGTATCTATCTCTAAAAACAATAGTAACTAACAGACCCATTCCCTGGAGACTCTCTTAGGCAGATCAGCTTTTCTGAGGTGGGGTGCATGGTGGGATGGCAGGCAATGGGGACAGACCTTAGATTCTTGCCCCAAGGCTGGTGAGTCATACTATCTTGAAGAATGTTTAAGGGAACACTTAGGGAGTGAGCCAAAGTTCTTTTTGCTTTGGTTCCCTTACTCTGCCCCTTCCCTGATCAAGAACATTGCTCCTGATGCCTTCTGATTGGGTTGGAGCTGTTTCCCAAGACCATGGTATATTTAGACCCTACTGAAGTTCCAATTATGCCAGGGCTTAGGAAACCCTCACCTGTGGCCGGGCCAACCCCTGCTGTTCTCTTCATTTGACTCCCAAAGTGTGCCCAGCAGGCTGTTCAGGCACGCCCTCACTCCCGAGGAGAGGGTGGCTAACTGGCAGGACCCAGCGGGGAGTGGGGGGATAGTGGGAGACAGAGAGTCACCAGGAGAAAGCAGGGTACTGCGATGCAGGCATGAGCTGGGACGAGAGGAGGGTCATGCGGGTGAACCACGGACCAGGCAGAGGTTCAAGCCTCAGGGTCCAGAAATCAACTTCTCATGGTCATTCATGCCTCAGTGACAGGCTGGGAAATGGGATCCAAATGGCAAGTGCTTTTTTTTTTTTTAACAAGAAGAGGATGGACATGCAACCAACAAAATGAGTTTCTGGTGGCCCAGAGCATGGAGGTACAAGATCACTTTTAAATGGCTTGAGAGCACAACAAATGATACATAAGCCGTACTCCAGTCAGTAGGCTGCGGGGTGGGAGACTGTACAGATGCAAGAAGACAGTCTCACTTATTTTAATCTCAGCATTGGTTGAACCCTCCTGTACATGCTGACCTTCGTTTGTGTTCCTGGCTTAAGACCGTGATTGGATCATTACTTTGCAATCCAAAAGGAACCGAAAAGATCACCAAAAGAAACCCCTTCGCTTGACAGTTGAGGAAGCCACATCCTGGAGGCTGAGTGGCTGACCAGTAATGAGGCATTGTCCAGCGTCCTCCACACAAGGCCCGCACCCAAGCTTGGAGACCTGTGAAGAGAGCCTTTAGGTTGATCAAAAGCCTGGAGAAATCATCTTTGAAGGAAGGTGCAAGAAACAACAACACATTGTGGCCTAACGCGGTGGTGCTTGATACTCGAACGTGTCCAGTGTCCAGCGTGTGGGGCAGGGCAGGGCGAGCAAGGGTCCTTTGCGCCTTGTTCTAGCTTGTCATTTGGCTTCTGTGTGACCCACTGAACTTTGCTAGTCCTCAAGACCAGCACTCTGCACTCTGTCTACAGCTGCTTCCCAGAGCTTTTGGGGCCCGGAGAGGAGATGGTGCCTGCGCCATGTGAGAGCACAGTCATGGCGTGTGTGGCGGGCACTGGGTGCGTTACTGACGTTACTCCTGCTGCCGCTGCTTCCTTTCCGAGCCGGCTGACCCGCAGTGCGTGGTGACAGCTGAGTGGACGCTGGCCCACAGCCGGCTTTCTGACCAGCTCTGCAGCCCACACTTGGAGCAGTGAGGTTTAGGACGTCCCAGGAGACATTTAAGTAATTTGGGGGGCAGGTGTTGTGTTGCTGTTGAGTGTAAGCCTACGTAAACAAGGAGGCTGTGGAGGTTCCATGTAAGGAAGGCTACTTTGTTTTCAATAGCATTTATAAGGATTTTTTTTTTTAATACAGAAAACAATAAAGGGAAAAACAGAAATGCTCATCATCCCACCCAGATAGTGCAGGAGCATATGCATGTGGCTGGAAGATGCAAATGCGGAAGCCACCTGCCCCTTTGCCGCTGGTTCCTCTCCCTAAGGGGACCGTGACCGTGGGGGCATGGCCGGCACCACAGGAATGTTCCTGTGCAGCCACTCAGGGTGTGTTCTCCTGTCTGTGAGCTGTTAACAGGCTCACTTCTCATCTTTTCCTGAGGGTGTGGGTTTGGGCCTGAGCAGGTTTCACACTAACTGCGGCCTCTGGGGGTGCTGGGAGGGCTCACTTCAGCTAGCTCCTGGTTCTGTCCCTTTACGGAGCTTTCCCGAGTTCAACCGCCTTCCATCCGCTGTTGCTCTCCTGTGGAGGTTCTTGTAATCTGGCCACAGATGGAGGGGCGATGCTTGGGGGACACGGGGTGTTGTGATAGGGCCACATTTGAAACCAGAGTTAAATATAAATCCTCTGAAAAGTAAATTTTTTCTTTCAAAGGTAAGAAACAAGCAGTTTGGAATATTACATTTAAGATATTTTATTCTTTAGTGATCTGTATTTATTCAAAGCCTGTGGTGTCCCTCCCCCAGTTGCGGCTGTTGATTACACGCTTCCTCCTGCAAGACCTGAGCTCCCCCAACCCTGCCTCACCGGGGAAGTGGGTGTGTGTGGATCACACCACGGTACAGGGGAGGAAACTGAGGCCTAGAGCAGTTCCGGTCACGTAGCGGAAGAGTGGCAGAGCTAGGATTTGAATCCGTGCCTGTCTGACCCCCAAAGCTGAGTTATTCTGGTATGGGAAATTTTCAGTTGTTGACATTTTAAAACATATATGAGTGATAAGGGAAATTGAGCCAAGTTCATTAAGGACTAAGTCCTTACTACGGGGCTGTGCCTTCCATCACTGAACTGTCTCAGACCTGCGGACCTGGACAGAGCACACTGCGGTCACATGCACGGTGTTGGTTGAGATGAACCTTTGTGGCGTCCTCGTCCTTCCAGCGACGGCGTGAAGGACTCACGATGTGACCCACAAAGGACGGTTTTGTTATCCCCCGTCCTTGGTGCTGCTCATAGTACACACATCTGCGGTTATTTCTGCTGGGTGCTGATGAACCAGTGTCACCTTCTGAATAATGGAGCTTTTTGTTGTTGTCTCTTCCTTTGTAGAGATTTAAAGCCTGAGAATATTCTCCTCGATGACCGTGGTAAGTGAGTGAGCTTTTCTCATCTAAAGCATAACACTTTGTTAAGAGGGACTTGGTTACAGAATGTTGATGTGGGCTTAGCCCATTGTTGCAGAACAAACAACAACAAAAAGGAAAACTCTTTGGAAAATATAATAGAAATAACATGGTCATTCCCCTTTATTTAGGCAAGAAGCAGAGTTGGTCATAATTTTCAGTTAACAATTAGAGTTTTAGGAACATATTAAAATAAATCCACAATAAGAACATTTTTCTCTCTCATATTTCTTGCTGTTGGTCCATGTCTTGATTTTTCCCTTAGAGGTGTATTTCCACCCAGGAGCGCCTAAGAATTTTCCTTTTTTAAAAAATAACAAATGGTTGTTGAATTTTGTCAGTGCTTTTTCTATCAAGATGACTATATGATGCTCCTTTTTTCTGTTAATATAGTTAATTTTCAAATGTTAAGCTAACTTTTGATTTCTGAAATAAATCCGATGTGGGCATATGAGTTATTCTTTTTTTTTTTTTAAAGATTTTATTTATTTATTTGAGAGAGAGAATGAGAGAGAGAGCACATGAGAGGGGGGAGGGTCAGAGGGAGAAGCAGACTCCCCGCCGAGCAGGGAGCCCGATGCGGGACTCGACCCCGGGACTCCAGGATCATGACCTGAGCCGAAGGCAGTCGCTTAACCAACTGAGCCACCCAGGCGCCCTTTATGAGTTATTCTTTACATAGATTGCTAGCTTCTGTTCTCTGATATTTTGAAGAAGAAGCTGGCTCTGTTTTTGAGGGCCCTGGGTCTCTATGTCTCTGCAGTGCTGGGAGCACCGGAGTCCTGCTGCGTCTGTGTCCCTGCAGACTCTCCGGGGGCCCAAAAGTCTTGGCTCGGCTCCCCGCTGCTCCCAGCTTCGGCAAGAGTCCCAGCTGGGAGCAGCTGGAGAGCGGCTGTGTGCGCCCCACTCCCAGTGAACAGCCTCTGGTTTGACCAGGGTTTGCAAATGCTTCTGAGAAAACACTTGTGCCCCTTGAGGCTCACTTCTGGTTGGTTCTCCACACAGGGTCTCAGCGCATCCGATCCGGGCGCTGCTGTGGCTCATGGACGCCCTTAAAGTAGAACTTGGTGCAGTTGCTGACAGTGGTAGCATGGCCACCACGACCTTTGCACCCTGTCCCAAAGCACGTGCCACGTGTCATTTCTGGGGTGCCTACTGTTTCTTGTTCTTTAGATACTTGGACCTGGTCACATTCTTGTTAAGAATGGAAAGGAATGACAGAACTTTGTTTTGCTTTTCTTGATTTCAGGAGACTTTTAGTCTTTTCTTTTTGTTTTCCTACTCTTTTAGTTTTAAAAGTGTAATCCTAGCTATACTTCATGACTTATAAATGCAATTGATTTTAGGTTTTTTAGTATCACCCACTTAAAATTCCCAAGAACTAATTTCCACCAGAAACCATAGAACATAAGAGTAACTCTTTCATTTCCCATCTAGACAGCTTGTTGAGGTTTCTGTTTTTGTCTGTAAAGCATAACCTGACATTGTGGTGAAATTAGGTTTAAAAGGATGATTATCAAGAGAACTACAGACAAATATTTCTGATGAACATAGATACAAAAATCCTCAACAAAATACTAGCAAACTGAATCCAAGAATACATTAAAAAATTCATTCACCACAGTCAAGTGTGATTTATTCCTGGGATGCAAGGGTGGTTCAGTATTCACAAATCAATCAACGTAATATATCACATCAATAAGAGAAAGGATAAAACCACACGATCATTTCAGTAGATGCAGAAAAAGCATTTGACAAAGTACAACATCCATTCATGGTAAAAACCCTCAACAAAGTAGGTGGAGAGGGAACATACCGTAATGTAATAAAGGCCATACATGAAAAACCCATGGCTAATATCATCCTCAATGGGGAAAAACCGAGAGCTTTTCCCCTGTCAGGAACAAGATAGGAATGTCCACTCTCACCACTTTTATTCAACATAGTACTAGAAGTCCTAGCCACAGCAATCAGACAAGAAAAAGGACTAAAAGGCATTCAAATTGGTAAAGAAGAAGTAAAACTTCCAGTATTTGCAGATGACATGATACTGTATACAGAAAACCCTCAGGACTCCACGAAAAAAGCTACAGAGCTGATAAATGAATTCAGTAAGGTTGCAGTATACAAAATCAATGTATAGAAATCCATTGCATTTCTATACACCAATAATGAAGCAGCAGAAAGAAAAATTAAGAATACAATCCCATTTGTAATTATGCTAAAAATAATAAAATACCTAAGAATAAGCTCAACCAGGGAAGTGAAAGGCCTGCACTCTGAAAATTTTAAAACACTGATGAAAGAAATTGAAGATGATGTAAACAGATGGAAAGATATTCCATGCTCATGGATTGGAAGAACAGATATTATTAAAATGTCTAAACTACTGCAAGCAATCTACAGATTTAATGCATTCCCTATCAAAATATCAACAGCATTTTTCACAGAACTAGAAGAAATAATCTTAAAATTGATATGGAACCACAAAGACCCCAAATAGCCAAAGCAATCTTGAAAAGGAAAAACAAAGCTGGATTTCAAGATATATTATAAATCTGTAGTGATCAAAACAGTATGGTACTGGCACAAAAATAGACACACAGATCAATAGAATAGAATAGAAACCCCAGAAATAAACCCACAATTATATGTGGGTTTATTTAATCTTCAACAATTAATCTTCAACAAAGGAGGCAAGAATATGCAATGGGAACAAGATGGTCTATTTGACAAATGGTGTTGGGAAAACTGGACCACTTTCTTACACCATACACAAAAATAAACTCAAAATGGATTAAGGACCTAAATGTTATACCTGAAACCATAAAAGTACTAGAAGAGAACACAGGCAGTAATTTCTCTGACATCACCCATAACAATGTTTTTTTTTTTAGATATGCCTCCTGAGGCAAGGGAAACAAAAGCAAAAATTAAGTCTTGGGATTACATCAAAATAAAATCTTTGCATAGCAAAGGAAACAATCAACAAAACAAAAAGACAAGCTACTGAATAGGAGGAGAGATTTGCAAATGATACATCCAATAAAGAGTTAGTATCCAACATATATAAAGAACTTCTAAAACTCAACCCCCAAGAGACAAATCATCTGATTAGAAATAGGCAGAAGACATGAACAGACATTTCTGCAAAGAAGACACACAGATGGCCAACACACACATGAAAAGATGCTCAACATCCCTCATCATCAGGGAAATGCAAATCAAAACCACAGTGAGATACCACCTCACACCTGTCAGATGGCTAAAATCAACAACACAAGAAAGAATAAGCGTTGGTGAGGATGTGGAGAAAAAGGAACCCTCATGCACTGTTGGTGGGAATGCAAACTGGTGTGGTCACTGTGGAAGACAGTATGGAGGTTCCTCAAAAAATTAAAAATAGAAATACCATACGATCCAATAATCACACTACTGGGTATTCACCCAAAGAATATGAGAACACTAATTCAAAGGGATACATGCACCCCTATGTTTATTGCAGCATTAATTACAATAGCCAAACTATGGAAGCAGCCTAAGGGTCCATCAACTGATGAATGGATAAAGAAGAGGTGATATATATATACAATGGAATACTATTCAGCCATAAAAAGAATGAAATCTTGCCATTTGCAACAACACGGATGGATCTAGAGAGTATAATGCTAAACGAAATAAGTTAGAGAAAGCCAATACCATATGATTCACTCATACATGGAATTTAAGAAACAAAGGAAAAAAAAGAGAGAAACCAAAAGACAGACTCTTAACTCTAGAGAACAGACTGATGGTCACCAGAGGGAGGTGGTGGGGGGATGGGTGAAACAGGTGAAGGGGATGAAGAGGACACTTACCATGATGAGCACTGAGTAATATATGGAAGTGTTGAATCACTCTATTGTACATTCGAAACTAATACAACACTATGTTAACTATACTGGAGTTAAGATAAAGTTTAAAAAAAGGCTGATTGGGGTACCTGGGTGGCTCAGTTGTTTTAAGTGTCTGCCTTCAGCTCAGATCATGATCTCAGTATCCTGGGATCGAGCCCTGTGTCCGGCTCTCTGCTCAGCAGGTAGTCTGCTTCTCCCCCTCATTCTCCCTCTGTGCTTGCTCTCGCTCTCAAATAAATAAAATCTTTAAAAAAAAAAGCTGATTATCATCTGTTCTAGGTTGTTAGGTGCATTTACTGTTTGTCCATCCTAAATATGTCAGCCCTATTTTTTGAAAACTTACAAATTAAGAGGGACTTGGTTTGTGAAATTTAACTGGTAGTTGAGATAAAAAAAAGGAAGCTCTATCATGCCTATTATTTTCTATAGGAGAGACTTCAGTTTTATGAAATAAGTATATTCCTAAAAAGCAGAATAAACAGTGAATCTTTGTAAAAACTAGTAGCATTTTATTATTGACAATGATTTTAAAGGAAATCCTATACATCATATTCTTCTATCTGTAAAATATATATCAAAGATAAGGATACTAATTTTTTTTTAACATAAACCCAATACTATTATTACATCCAAAAGTATTTAACAGTTCCTTGGGGCATCTGTGTGGCTCAGTTGGTTAAGCATCCGACTCTTGATTTTGGCTCAGGTCATTATCTAAAGGTCGTGAGATCGAGCCCCGCATGAGGCTCCGTGCTGGGTGTGGAGCCTGCTTAAGATTCTCTCTCTCCCTCTCCCTCTGCCCTCCCATCAGCTTTAAATCTTCCTTAATTATTTCATAAATGTTTTTATAGTTGTATATTGAATATAGCATGAAGTTCATATTACATTTGGTCGATATCTTGTTGAGTTTTTTAAATGTCATAGGTTCCTCCTCCCTGCTTCTTTATGTCATTTATTCGTTTGTGAAACCAGTGTTATGGGTCAAATAGTGTCTCTCTAAAATTCATGTCATGAAGTCCTAACCGCCAGCACCTCAGAATGTGGAATGTATAGCTGACCTTCGAACATGTAGGGATTAGGGGCACCACTTCCCACACCGTCAAAAATCCGCATATAATTTTTCTTTTCTTTTTTTTTAAGAGAGAGAGAGAGTGCAAGCTTGAGAGGGGGGAGGTGGAGAGAGAGAGAGAGAGAGTCTTAAGCAGACTCTGCACTGAGCGCGGAGCCTGATACGGGGCTCCATCTTGCAACCCTGAGATCATGACCTGAGCTGAAATCAAGAGTTGGATGCTTAACTGACTGAGTTACCCAGGTGCCCCCACATATAACTTTTCAACTCCCTCAAAATGTAACTACTAATAGCCTACGGTTGACCAGAGCCTTACTGATGACATAAACTGTCAATTAACACATATTCTGTATGTTATATATATTATATATGGTATTCTTTTTTTTTTTTTAAAGATTTTATTTATTTATTTGAGAGAGAGAATGAGATAGAGAGATCATGAGGGTCAGAGGGAGAAGCAGACTCCCCGCTGAGCAGGGAGCCCGATGCGGGACTCGATCCCGGGACTCCAGGATCATGACCTGAGCCGAAGGCAGTCGCCCAACCAGCTGAGCCACCCAGGCGCCCCTTATATATGGTATTCTTACAATAATGTAAGCTAGAGAAAAGATGTTAAGAAAATCATAAGGAAGAGCAAATGCATTTACAGTGCTGTCCGTACTGAAGAAAAACGCATGCATAAGTGCACCCATGTAGTTCAAACCCGTGGTGGTCAAGAGTCAACTGTGTTTGGAATGAAGGTCTTTAAAGATGTGATTACAGCTGAATGAGGTCACTAGGGAGAGTCCTAATTTCATATGACTGGTGTTCTTATAGGAGGAGGAGGTAGGACACAGACGTGCACAGAGGGAAGAGGCTGTGAATACACGGGTGAGAGCCACTGTCTACACACCAGGCAGAGAGGCCTGCCCTCTGGCCCTGGATCTTGGACTTCCCATTGCCGGGGCTGTGGGCAAATAAATATCTGTCCTTTCCACCCCCAGCTGTGGCGCTTTGGTAACAGCAGCCTGGCAGGCTAGAACACAGACATTTGTCCTATTGAAGTTCCCGGGTTGTGGATTTGGCTGGATCTAACATGTTCCCTGCCTCCCCTATTCTTCCTGTAAGCCAGTGGCTAAAATCTGGAGGCTGGAATTGGTTCAGGTTTGATTTTTGGTGAGCATACTTGGTGTGTCCTTCCTGTTGCATGACATCAGGGGGCATGTGAGGACTGAGCATCTCTCCTTTTATGGTGTTCAGAGTTTCACACCTTGGTCAGCTTGATCTCTCCATTACCCATTTCCCACCAGCTTTTCATTTAATGGATGCAGGATCAATATTAAGATACAGCATTTCACTGGGGCTGTAAAGTGATGGCATTCTAATTCTGTCATTCCTGGTGCACTTAAATGTTGAGATCCATCTGTAAAAAAGAATTTTGTTTACCTCTTTGTTCAGGAAAAGCAGGTGAAATATGTGAGTGCTTCCTTTTATTTCTACTTTTCAGGAGATTGTGTTAGTTCTCTATCATTCTCCAAGATGATCAAGGGAGGTTCTCGTTTTATTCTGTTTTGGTATCATTAATGAACATATGGATTTTAACACTGTGATAGGGTTTAATCCATTGGAGTAATTATCCTTTATGATGTTTTTTGTCCCTTCTTTGGCCAGTGGATGTCCAGTAGCCTCTAATGATTTCCTTGTTTTCTGCTATTATTTCTTACTGAAGATGTTCCAGGATGACCTTGCATGTGCCCTGAGACCTGGAGTCGACCATGTCTCCAAGGGGCCTGGTCCTCTGTGCGGAGAGCCCAGTAAGGGTTCCAGGTGCCCTCGCTGCCCTGCTGGTCATTCTTCCCAGGCCTTTTCTGGGAGAGAACACATCTGTTCTTGTTGTTTTAAAAGAAAATATTCATCATGGAATCATATTGATATTTCTAATTCTCCTTTTACTTCTTCATTTCACATTTGTGTCCTTTTTCTCCTAATGCTGAAAATATTAGTTCCTAATGACGTTAATATGATTACAGTATTTTTCTCTGCTTTTTAAATATGTGGTGTAGATGGTTGTACAACACTAAGTGGAGATCTTCCTTATTTCTTCATCCAGCTGCCTGGGGACGGCCTGGCTTGATCTGCCTGGCAGTGGGCTGTTCCCAGCTCTCCGTTCTTTCGGTTACTGCTGCAATGCCTGGCCCCGTGCACAAGTTATTTCCTGCTTTGTCCAGTGTGTCCTTGGGATAGGCACCCGGGGGTGGGGTGTGAGGCTGAAGGATGGGTTCACATGCAGTTTCGCAGACATTGCCGAATTCCTGGCATTGGAACTGTGCTGGTCTGTGTGCACACTAGCAGGGCATGCACCTGCTTCCCCGGGGCCCCGCTGGCAGAATGGGTTCTCAAGCTGAGTCTTCGCTCGTTTGTCAGTAGTTTTGCTCTTCATTTCTCAGTGGAGAAAAATCATTTTTTAAAAGAAAAATAAGAAAGGATACTTAAAATTTTACAACATGCCAGTACTTAACTTAAACATAAAATACGTAAAAGCTGCCTTATGGAGGAAATCTTCCTGTACGAAAGCAGGAAACAGACACACTGATAAATGGCAGAACTGGGACTCGAACCCAGGTCGTGCGGCTCCAGAATCCGCTCCCGTGGCTCCAGCCTCCTGCCTCCCCCGATGCAGGCACGCCGCTGCTGGGAGTAACGTGACTCACAGTGCTGGTGTGCTAAGGGAAAGGTCGATTTTCCTGTCTAAGGCATCATGCAGGCTGTGTTAAAGCAAATTCAGTGCCTCAAATGGCATGTTGTGGATTTTCAGTGTTGAGCACATACTTATTGGTTGGTGCATTCATTTCTTCAATAAATATTTATTGAGCACCTACTATATGCAGGTACGATATCAGGAGCTGGAGACACATGGCCAACAAGGTGAGTGGGGCGTCTGCCTCCAGGGCTGGTTTATCTTTCTAGACTCTCAAAAGAAAGTTTTCTATAAATAGTTATTTTCATAACTATTTAAATCTTTCTATATAAAGGCATGAACACATGACATAGCCTTTTAAGTGAGTTTCCTTGATTTTATTTATTATTTTGCTGTTACAATTTGTTCTTCAGAGAAAAACTCCTTATTATTCGTCTGTTGTTGTTCCTGTATATAAGCCTACTGGTATTCTGACAGAAAGTGTTTATTTTCTATTGTGTAGTTCATGTACTAGTCATTATAGTTTTATTTATGGATTTGGTAGTTACAGGAAATTAAATAATAAACACAGTGCTTCTATCTTTTTTTTTTAATTTTTTTTATTTTTTATTTATTTTTTTTTTAAAAGATTTTATTTATTTATTTGAGAGAGAGAATG